TGGTGCTTTATGTGAAATCCTTTCAGCCTAGAATGGGTTTTGTATAAATATTACCACAATCTAAAGTATACCGCCGGGAACTAGCGACCATTAATCTATAGAATATCTCGGTTTGAGACGAAGTTAATACATAGTGCTGGTCGAACCACAAACTTTACTGACAATTTCCGTTCTATTTTCTATATTGTGTTGAACGAATGATTCTAGCGACTGGATTAAACAATAGGCACAATCACAGATATATGCTTACTGAATCGGCACATTTTACCATAGCCATGCAACAACCCGCTAATAGCATAACTCTAATGAAGCGAAGGAAAAAAATACAGAGGATAGCCCTACGGATGAATGATCGTAGTATTATTCACTTTCATGCGGTTACCTTTAATGCCAGCTCTTCAAAACATTCGCATGATTAAATTCGTATTTGTTTTTTTACAAGCTAATAATTATCAGATGAATCTGTCCAGTTGAACGCCCTTCCAAATTAGTCCAATACAAAGGTATCTTTGTTAACCTCTTGTAAATTTCACATCAACTATAAGGTTCACAAAATACGATCTGTAAGGTACGGCTTTTAAATTATCAACCACTAATTGCCACCATTGGTTGGAAGTCGATTTTCGTGAATTATTTGTAGGGAGAATATTAGGTGCATAAAATAACCAGTTTTATTCATTTATTTAAGCATGCATTATTCAAGAGCTAAATCTGCCTATTGCAGGTCTTTCATTAAGCCTGAAATGTTATCTAAATTATTAATTAGACATTAATTAGCTTATCCAGACCATAATCAACACTCGATGTCATCATTAGCCTGCGATATTTAGTGGAATTGAATACCTTTCATGACGGATGATTTAACGTAAAAATGTATAACCGGAACTTTGTTTATTATCGTACAAACGGTAGTTATGACGTTCGAGGCTAGCCTAAAATTGAATTGCTAATATCTCGGTTCAGAGTGTAGCACTGTGACTGAAATATTCAGCATATTCCGTTTACAGTATTGTCTGTTTTAACTATTATAACGAGAACTGTCAGCTGTTTATCTAATCTTTCATAATGCCCTTTTGAATATATATATATATATGTATTACAGTATTATGTAATTTCGGATTTTTATATTCCGTTTCCATCTAGGACTAACCCTTTACTCGGTTTACATTGAGAATTATTTAAATGCTTTTTCTTTTTTGTTGTGGTGTAAAACCCCTAAATACTGTTCTGCCAAGAGGAAAATGTATTGCACTACAATGTCGTAATCTGGACATATTAGAAGAAATGATTTTTATGAGTCGGTCGAAAAGTGATAAACAACACCACAACGATTTTTATCTATGAGATTGGGAAAAGTCAGCATCAACACAGTGGTCATAATCGACTGTTTTCCTAGCCTTATAACTTTGTCTCCGTGTAATGACTTTAACGGAAATGAAATGAAATCCGGTTTCACGCCACACTTTTCTGCACCGACAGGGCTAATGAAGACGGGCATACGAAATGCAGTGTGCTGTGGGGATCTTTTGCAAATTCCTGTTCCAACACCCAAATAATTTGTGAATAATCATCTGTTCTTCAGCTGTTAGAAAATTGAATTACTGTTCAACTGACGATATTGGTGCTACAAAGTCTCTAACTCAATATCATTTAAAATCTTCAACATTGAAAACACGATTTATTTATCAAATTAAATCAGCATTGATATTGTGATCTTACCGGAAAAAGATGGGCTTTTGATATCCAATATTTAAGACAAAATAAACATTTTAACATTGGTACACGAATCGTGTACCATAATGCGCTTCAGCCCAAGTTGTAACAAGAGACTCGAGGGACGAGGCTAGACACATTGCACCAAATCAAACGGCGTATGTAGACAGGAATAACAAGACGCTAGAAATTTGAACTCGATTGAGACTGCTGGCTTATTTCGTCGAACATAACTGATTTGAAATTTGAGTAAAAACGGAAACCATTGAATGTAAATCAGTTTATATACATTCATATTACAGTATTATATGCGCTGCGACCCACTTTTGTCGATTTCTAGGTCCCAAATGTTAGCGATTTAGCTCCTTTAAACTATTTTTTTTTTTTTTTTTTTTTTTTGAAACCTGAATATTTTGTTCCGGGGGTGACATGTACCGAAATAAATAATTATTTTCCATTAAATGTCAGATATATTTGAATAAATAACATGGAAACAATATTATATTGGCATTTTCGTTTTTACTGCAAAATTGATTGAATAATGGGCATGAATATTGATATTTGAGAAGTAACATTTCGTGAGCCGTGTAATGTGTTATAATTCCTGTCCCCAGAGTTATTTGTTTATGGCAACGCTTCACCTTTCACAAAAATATGCTAAAATCCCATCAAAGTGAATTTCCTAAAGGTTATGTAATAATTTTAGTAGTACATTTCAGCGTCGGCTCTGGATTCATTCCACCCGTTTATTTTATAAAATAACCACTTCCAGAAGAAACAGTTTATGTTTTTCATTGGCACTTAGCACTGAACACAATTATCAAAGACCAATTGTATTGAAATGAAGTAGTTTTTAACGCGTCCGACTTTGGTGCATGAGCAGGCCTAATGAAGACGGGCATACATACACGCCAGTGTATACACGAGTGGATTTCGGTTGTTGGCGACATCCAGACAACTAGACGCTTATGTTGCTTGCACCACTAAGGAATGTTCTCGGCAAACACCACTGAGCAATCGGGCAATTATATACAGTCATAGAACATAAAAAAATCGAAAATCTGCGGCTTTAAATTTAGCTTAAAGCAATCAACTCACGCAAACGTTGTAGTTGGTGAAACGACACAACAGAACGATGACGCATTAAGAAAGAAAATTTAATTGGAACGCAGACTTAAATCTAGATGATTGTTAATAACTTACTACGCGCGGAATTGAAAAATAACAGCAACAATATTTCTTTAATTATTCGTTGATCCATTTTCGACATCTACCATTTCGATAATCTTTTGTAAGCAGAGTTCAGGGATATGGGATGTGTGCAATAAATACATCTTCATTTGGTCGACGACAGATATTCAAAATAGCGTATTACAATTTAATGACTTTTATTTGAGGCTGTTCGAAACTGAAAAGATTATCCAAACCCAATATCTAGATAAACTGGCCAAATTGAATTGCGACATTTAAAACTCATTCAGTATGATGCATGTGATATTTATTTTACATGTTAACCTTATATAACCAATTCCCATACCGAACATATAACAAATGGCCACCAAAAATCTGTAACACAATATCTAGATGAAATTAAGCGTTGTATACACAATCACACTAGATGAAATAGGACGTTGGATATAATTGAAGGTAAAATCAAGCCAACAGAAGAGTTGTCGTGTCCCATAAGGTGTGACGGACAGACATACAGCGAGATGGGAGCGGGGAGTAGGTGCAACATTAAAACAATATTCGGGACATTCTCCCGGACAGCATAACAACACAGTCCATTAGCAAACGACACTTTATAAATCTAAAGGAAATAATGAAATAGATTAATACAATCTCGTAGTGCTATTCACGTTCTATTTTGGATACAAATATTAGCCATGTAGTTTTGACATTTGGTGGACTTTTATCATTTGTATTCGGAGTTACATTTTGTTATTGTTGTTCTGCGAGTTATAGTGTGAATACAGATATTATCAGGTGTTGAAACATAAATTTTTTACATCAACTGAATAAATTCCACGTTGATATAATTGGCGCTCTGTATTAAAGAAGGAGAATATCCATAGATAAATCCACTGTTAATGGATTTTTGATAAACTGTCGATAACGGAAGCCCTGCTGTAACCGATAAGCTTTCATTTTTATAAATACAAAACACCGAAGCTTTGTTGTTTTTTGGGGTTGTTTTTTTACAAACACGGGTTTTGATTATGTTTGGGACAAAAAGGAACCTAGGTTTGATTATGATAATGACAAAAAATTAAGGTTTGATAATGATACAAACCTAAGCTTTGATTACGGCAGGGGAAAACAGATACCGAAACTTTGATTATGATAATTTCAAAAAGAAACCTAACCTTTGATTATGCGAAGGGTGGAATAAACCTTACCTTTGATTATGATAAAGACAAAAAGAAACCTAACCTTTGATTATGCGAAGGTTAAAATAAACCTAACCTTTGATTACGATAATTTAAAAAAGAAACACACCAGTAACCCTTGATTACACAAAGGGTAAAATGAACCTTACCTCTGATTATGATAAGGTCAAAGAGAACACAAAGGGTAAAATGAATCTAACCTCTCATTATGATAAGGTCAAAGAGAACCCTGACCTTTGATTATGGGAGGAGTAAAATGAACCTAACCTTTCATTATGATCAGGTCAAAAATGAAACCTAACCATTGATTATGCGAAGGGAAAAATGATTTATAAGGTCAAAAGAAATCTAAGCTTTGATTGTAAAGTTTGATTACGACAAGGTCAACATAAACCTAAGGATTGGCCAAGATAAGGACTCATTTCCCTAATGGCATCTTGAAGTAGGGGCTACTGGGCACAGTGAGCCATTTTTGACACATTTGAATTTCTATCCATTTTGATGTGACACATTATAGGCTTTGTCCCCCGACGCCCGATCTCCCACTCTACCCCCACTACAGTTAAATATTCACAATAAAAAACACACCACAGGGTAATTGATTGTTCTTTACCAATAAATATTGTTAACATCCTTATTACAGCAAAATATCGATACATGAAAAAAGTCACAATAACATAACTGATAAACAGAGACACATTTACATCAAATAGATTTTATATTTGTTCAAAAACTTTTGATGTATGTTATAACACTTGTCAAAACAGGAACCAGTTCCTTCTCTTTGGGAATTTATAGCTAATGAAGATTAATATTCAGTCCCGCATTAACCTGTGATAAACGCATTAAAATAAATATTACAAAGTATTAATGTTGTTTAGATTTTGTATTTTTCAGATGTCATTGACTTGTAGAATAGAATTGGCCGTAGCAGTAGCAGTTGTTATTTGCACGTGTGCGTGTGGGTTGAAAATCGACTTTTCCAGACTATCACATCACAGACGTTCATATATACCACAGAAAAGAGGATCAGAATGTACAGGTTGGTATTTAATAAAACAAAACATGAGCAGTGACTTAATCACACGCAAGCGCTTAACATTTACCATTTGCTCTCTACCCCCATTTAGCCCAAGAAACAAGTATGGCCAACATATTTAGGGTCGGTCGGAAAGTTCTTGTTTTATTTCCTTTTTAGTGGGGTAAAATTGAATATAACTTAATTACATACCACTTCTACTCGTTGCCACTGGCAACCTTTGATAAAACTGTCCTGTTTATTTTCAATACATGCTTCAAAGTATGCGTGTATCAGAATTATACAGAAAGAGTACTGTTCATTTCTGATACACGGATACTTTTATACTGTTTTAGATACCTATCAAGCAATAAGTAGCGGACGTTTAGTCAGACCCAGATCGCAATTGATAACGATGTCTCTATACAATGCACAAGGTTAATGTACATGAAACAACTAGTCAAAATCATAGTAACAAAACAAACCGGGAGGAACTACATGGCAGTTCAAAAACATATACAATGACATTAAATTAACATAACAACATATTACAAAAATCAATTATTATACATATCAATTGGCATCTATTTCATAATTTGGTTTGATTTATATGAATATGTAAAATATATAAATTAGAATGTTGAATAATAATTTTAATTAATTGTGATGATAGAAGGCGCAGTTCTCTTGCTGGACACTTCACAGGCATTGAAAATAAGCAGGATGAAAAAAAAAAACGCCTAGAAAGTCATAAACTTTATTACAAATAAATTTCAACGGAAGAACCATCCGCCGATGCATACTTTCACCAGGAATGACCCACGTTTCGCATTTCCTTTACACTACATTTAATAATATCGCAGTCCTCTACGCCATAGACAAGTTGTTTTGACGATGTGGTCTAAACAAACACGTGATTGTTTTACGCTCAGAGTATCATAGCAAGACGCACGTGTAAATACTACTCAGGTCGTCTCTCCACTGCGAAATCATTCTACCATGAAATGTAACGTGAGGCTCAGAAAGGGATAAATGAAAGAGCAGAAAGTATTTGTCAGTTTTCGGTTGAAACAACTCGATAATAAATACTATTTTTCACATTTTGCTCCACAATACGCGAAAGAAATGTGATGTAAGTAACTTATTAGCACCTTTCCTCGGTGTATCGGTGAATATCAGGACAGTTTTGGTCGGGAGCCGCCTCGGCTCCGCCTCGGCTGGGCCCGTCGACCAAAACTGTCCTGATATTCACCGATACACCTCGGAAAGTGTGCTAATAACTATTACTTACTAGATTAATCTTTTAATAACTTACATACACGTGTATATAGATAATTATATCGAAATTTCAGTGTTGCAATTTGTCGACAGAAAACCGCGTCAAGGCCGAGTTACAGGACTACAAACGAGAACAAAAATTAGGGTAGGCTGTTTAGGCTTAACGAATAGGGTCGGCCTGTTAACTATAAAGGGAGGTTTTTGTTGTTTATGTGGTCGGAGAAGGGATGGGGCTAACCAAAAACAACAAGGAACGATGGTGTCTACACTGTGTATAGAGAGCATATATATATATGATACTTATCCACGTGATGTCAATTTTCTCGAAATGATTTTGTGTCCTTCATTATTGTAGTATTCACGGCATTGACGACTGCGTGGAAATGATATGTAGCGTATGATCTTTTACCGTGTAGGAAAAACCTGTTTAATTCCAATATCCCCCCATGACCAGCATTGTATCCTGGTAGGATGGCTTAAATGAAAATTATAAATGACATAAAGATACATTCTCACGAAGGTATTTATTGGGTGGTTATCAAAAAAAATATGGCAAATTTGGTATATATGGAAAGTAGAGACGCCTAATCTTACTAGAAAAATATTGGATTTGCCGAGAAAAACCCATAGGATATCACTCACTGGCAACCTGACGGCTTATTATCTGCCAGCTTAACTTAGGGAGCGGTTGTTATTTCTAGATCGAATTGTTAGGCGGTTATGAGGGGTGTAAACGTATAACAGGCGGAAAAAGAAGTCGACAGAAAGTAATTCAAGAATTTACGTAGGCCTCAATATGTATAGTAAATGGGCAGTAAGTAATGACAAATACATTCTAACTGGGTCCCCCCTCAAGCATGTTAGGTGACAAACATGGATTCTAAAAATAGATTTTTTTATAGCTTGGGGTATCTCCTCGCGAATACAAAGTTTTGAGAGGGATTGGAAGCAAATATTTGATGATTAATTAGATTGAATATGTTTTTAGTCCGAATATATTATCAAATCAAACAGTTTGTAGGTCTGAAGGTATCTTTAAGAGTTAAAATAACGATGACACATTAATTAGATTTCTCTAGCACGCGAAGTCTTTAAGTTTCAATCCCTGTTTATTTTTTTTTGGCAAACGCACAAAATCCAAATAGATGACACGGTTATAACTATCGCTTGTCTTAAATTCCTTTTCCGTAATCGATTCTAAATGGGAATGCAGTGATTTGAGACCGGGAACAAATTTGAATTTCAGATGGGTTTAAATTTCCACTAAATATGGTTGATTATAATATAATACCTGGCAAACTTGCTCGTGCCTTCTATAGTGGGGTTGATGTCACCAGAAAATGTTTTAACCTAGGTCAAGTGTGTGATGGAGGTTTGGTGTTTGATACAGTGAACAATCTGTCACGACGAGTATCAAGTCGAAGGGGCTCGATACGAAGAGTTCTGAATCCATTCTGTTACACCGCATGCGTCATCACCAAAAGCATGAGTTGTTGTCTTCATTTTATACTTTTGCTGTCAAGAAACGTATAACCTAGATCACACACTAAAACCAATAATTTCTCTTTTTTTGTGAAAAGTAGTCGAAAAGTATTTAGTCTAAACCAAGGATAATTATTATGCATTGCTTCTCGTCGTAGATAGGTATCCACAGGGACACTTTTTTCAGTGACTGGTTCTTAATTAGTATGCGATTATGTGTCCTACTTGTCGTATTAAATTACCATCATACTGGCACACTAATAACATGCTAAAGACCGCTTGACACATGACATCGTGGCATGATACATGGCATTTTCAAATGTACAGTTGTGTTAAACACGGTGTTAAAGATATAATAATGAAATCTAACAGATCAGATGTTGTGTTTACCCATGGTTTTGTACAGATACAAAAAAAGAGTAAACAAGACAGTAATCATTCGAAACTGGCATCTAGACAATTTAATGGACTGTGAAATTGACAAATATTACGTTCAATTTTGAAATTCAGGGCAATTTGGTTTGTAGGCTGGGCGCATAGATAAAATCTTATTAGTCAAATGTCAATAAAAACGATTAAGTCGATTAAGCAGACTTCCCGAACGATTGCTTCATTCATGGGGTTAAAGATCAACTTGTCATAAGGAATAACCATGGGTAGAGTTCGAAGTAATCCAACAGTAGGTATCGTCCTTCCTTTATTGGTGCATTTCCTTTATTTATTTGTTCCTTTTGGATATTTGTAGTAATGTTATAAGCTTGGATCGACGATGCATTGGATAGTAAGACACAACAAAAGCTTTGTTAGCCACATCATTAACTACTCAGTTTGGCGGTCTGTTATCACTCTTTTGAAAGAACAATATTGGTGCCAGTCATTATCACATATTACGTTTCAAATATTATTTTATCACAGAGATCATTGCTACGATAGAGGCGTAATCAATACTTCAACAATCGGAAATGACGAACGCAAAAGGAAAACGCGAGTTATCCCTCTATATAACTGACTGAAGTGACGAGTGATAACAGATACATGGGCGAATATCTGCTCACTAATAATTCCTTCGAAGACCAAAAGATCTTGTCTTTACGTGTCACGATTCTTAAGATAGCCACTTGGTATTGTAAAGATACCTGCACTAATACAAACTGTGCGATATGATTATATTTTGACCATAAAAAGATGTTCCAACTAATCTATCTATCAAAAGTTTGCAGCTTCCTTCAAATCATTCTCAAACTACCCCAAACCGTAGAATTATTTATTTTAAACATCCTTTTTTGTCATGTGACTTGATTAATGGAGGGCACAAAATCAGATTGTGTTTTGTCGTTACTCGCTGCCCATTCACCATAAATACCAAAGCCTAAGTAAATTCTATAATTATCCTCTGCAAACTTCTTTTTTCCACCGTTTAATTACTGAGTCTACGGTACTTTTATGTCTCGATGTTGCCACAACCGCTAGCATTCGATCATCATATACGAAGCGCTCCCTAAGTAACTCAGGCATACAGCAAGCAGACAGGTTGCCAGTTAGCGATACCCTTACATTTTTGTCCTGTGCGCGGCTCATTGTTTTTTCTGGGAATCCAGTATATTTCTATTAAGATTGTGTCTCTCTACTTCCATATTATATCAAATTTCTATACTTTTTATTGGAAATAACTACCTTATACATACTTTCGTATAAATGCTTCTTTAAGGTAGACTAACGTTTAACCCAAAATAATTAAATATGAAAATAGAGGCTCCCAGCTTTTTTTTCTTTTTTTTTTTTGCACTGAAATCTTTAATTGGAGTTTCCACGTTAAGCGTATTTGTAAGCGATCTTGGCATTGCGTGTTAAGCTTCTTATAATAGTCAAGATCACTATTTGATATTTTAATACGCACATAGTCATTTGATATTATACGACAAAGGTAGAACAGTATTCCCAGTGATGTAAATGTGAAAATAAATAATTCATAAGTAATATCAGTTTTAATCTCACGATTTTACTATGTTTTTATTTACCAATTAACGTTAAGCATGTGCAGTTGATCATATCTACCGGTGATATATATTTTACAAATGTAAACAGCATATTCTAAAAATAGTAATTCACGATTAGCATTTCTCCTAGTCTATATGATTGTATGTAAATATTTAAATATCGTTATATAGCCTTCGTTATTACAAATTTGAATTTCTCGTAATCCACTTACTGTAACTAAAGTTTTCAATATCTTATAAAGCCAACATCCAATATGAGAGATTAGCATTAATTTTTCTTAATCCACTTACTATAATTATCAAAGTGTTAGGTAATCAGAGATTAGTCTTTCTCTTAAATTAGTATGTAAAATTTCCAATACCGTGATAATGCTGCCTTCAATATTATACGAGAGCAGTTTTATAGAAAAAGCGATCCTACTAATCACTGACAACAACGGAAAAGAATTTTTGTTTCTTTGTCATTTTCACTTATCCATAATTTTGTCAATTTTTATTTTGAAAACATTTATATTTTGGATTATGATGTATAGAATATATATCTTTGTGCAATACTTTGTGCACTACTGACCAAAACCCCAACATTGTTGGTGATTACTATAGACCTAGAAAAAGATACAATTTAACTAAATGTCAATCTGGAAATAGTCTCCCATGGAATGACATGTATATTATGTTAAACGGATACATGTGCCATAAGGGAAGAGTTTAATGACTTTATAAATGGTTTGATTGCGGTAACACACTGTTTAGAGAAGATATTGTTTCATTTAAGCTGCCGCAGTAAAGTGTTGATATTGAGTTGATTCTTGATGGGAGGGGCTCGATATAATTAAAGTTTAGTTTCGAAAGATTAAGCGAAATCTAGTTTTTTATGACTTTTTCTCCAAATTTTAGTTCCCTTTTCATTTATATCTGAACATTTGCTTTATCTATCAACGACGACAGATTATCACCTCAACACACAACACCCATCGGAATCGACAATTCAATTTTATTTTGACCTAGATAAAAGTGTTTGAAACAATTTCAAAGTTTCGGATTTAGCACACAAAGTGCGCTTATCATTTTATTTTCAAGTTAAAAATGTCGAACGACCAAAAGAGATCGTTCATTTCTCTGGAAATGTCATATGGCAAGAGAAGTAGTAAATTAATATAACATTGCAGGTTGGAGATCATTTGTGAAGTCTTAATTAATTACTCAATTACTCCTGATTGATTCCAATTTCAAAAATTCAATAAACACAACAGCTTTATTGTGCTGCGTTGGTAGATTTTTTTCAATCTTCAAGATGAAATTTAAGTCATTGTTGAAGCATTACGTAACGTACAGTCTCCCTTATTATGTTAAATATTGAGAAGGGAAAACAACAAATGAATAATATATGAACCGAGTAGAAACTTAATATAGTTGGGAGTGTCATTGAGGTAATTTCAGCGCCAGTGGAATAGTTATCCATGCCACTGGATTCGATACTTTCAAAAAGTCATTGTAGTGCATAATTATGTGGGTGTTATGGAGCTTGGAAGGTTTGAGCGTAGGACAAAGCAACAAAAAACATGAGAAGTCGGAAAGTTGACAACAAAGGGATACACTTTTTTTGCAGAGAAACACAGTCTTTTGAAGATATAATGCTTTAAACTGTAGTGACATACAGGAATAATTGATGACATTTTGTGAGTGTCAGGACGAAAGGCGAAAAGATCTTTGCGACGTTACAGACGACAATGTATGAAAGGTTTTATCACGTAACCAATAGCAATAATACTGCCCTGGGCTTTCAACTCGAACTTGTAGATAATTCATTATACATACTTGTCTGTCAGTGTGGTGACATGCAAAAAGATAAGATGCGGACTTTATATACCTTTATTCTGATAATCTAAATCGTCTTCATATAAAGAATTATGATTCTTTTAAGTATTCGATTATTTCGGCTTAGTTAAAATTTCCTTTGGGAAATATCATTATCTTCAAATAGCCTATTATTAATATTGGCGACGACTGTTAGCTTGTAAATCTAATTTAGTTTGAAATATTAAAGAACGAAAGACGCACGTCATAAATTAGATGGTTTAAAATTTGTGAGATGCAAAAAGGGCCTGGTTTAAAGAACGCTTTTAAAATGTCAAAAACTCTTCGATTTTTGAAAAGAACAAACGGTTGATTTCATATATTGATTAGTTTCGCTATAATAACAATCAGTGTTTTTGTGTAAATATTATAGAAAGCCAGTGTTGAGATACAACCGAAAGCCAGAATATAAAAGAGAATTAGTAAAAATCCGACTTCGTTTATATTTCTTATGTTGATTAGTTTCGCTATAACAATCTGTCTTTGCTAAGCATTTTACGTAAAATGTTATAGAAATGAAATGGGGTTTAACGTCCCACCACTCTGTTCCGACTGGAATAATGAAGACGGATATAACTACTATAGATAAAGCTAATGTAAGACATAACAGAAAGCTAAACTTTACAATAATATGAGCAAAAAGCCGACTTTTCGTCTTTATTTCGAAACAAACATTTGATGAATAGAGATTGTCCCATCAGTAATCGAAATAATACATCGGATTACCCCAATTCAGTACTATATTTTGAACTAAATCAAAGAGGTTTAGCTCTGTTTGACCTTGACTGTTGGCGAAATACACATTTGAGTGAACCTTTTATATTCATTTAACATTAATATAGTTTTGTAATACGACCTTTTGTAGGTAATCAACGTGCAGTGGAAATATTATTGTATCGTGGCTACTTTCAATTTAAAATGGTATATATGTCTTACCCAACAATTTTCCCACCCCTATATTGCCACCTCGCATCGTCTCCATACTTAGTATCGTCCATATGTTTCCTGTAATTTATACTTTCCTGATTCCCCGCTATTTCATCCTTAGGGCGCCATTAATTCCCTAACAATGATGTCTCTTTGACATCCTTAACTAAACGCTGAATAAAGATACTTCAGAAAAGTCTTATTACTTTTTAATTGTCCTGTCGTCTGTATGTCGAGGGCCCCCTAAAATGTATATAATATGTTATATGATAATTGGAATTCTATAATATCCACGAACGGATAAAGTAGACTATTTTTCTCAAAGCCATATGTAGTATTAAATATAACTTAATTAATTCTGTCTGCACTGAGAAAGTCTTCCAAAACAGATTAATGTTTCACTTATAGATGAAATATGGATTGTTTTGGGTACGTCTTCTTTTCTGGAAGTAGCAGGCGAAGCTTTGCGATAATTGAGTGCTTAATAACAGACATTCCGCCAAACGTTCAATAAACCCCGAATGTTTATTAATGTTTGCTTTCATTTAACCGTTTATAATGCTGGATTTATTTTAAAAGTGTAACATCTATTTAATATAGCTAAGGGGGGAATAAAACTCCTTCGTTTTTTTGTAAAGAAAATGATTAAATATTGCTGGGATTTCTCAATAAAACGGATTATGAATTTTGAATCCCTCCTTTCTCTGCCGATAGCCCATCTATTTAGGGGTCATTGAATCAACTGTATCCGATATTGGTGGTTTACCGAGGAATGCTAGGGCATAGACAATTATTAAGACAAGAACATTTCTCATATATGAGTTTACTACACCCCGGCATTATAGATTTGGAATTAATTCGATGAAAAAAATAAAATCATCACATTGTTAAATCTATTAATAAACAATGACGCGTTTATTAAACGTCTAATGATGTCTTAGCTGGAATGGAAGCGTTATAGCTGTTATGTTTTATTTTTTTTCCTGGAATTACTTTTATAAACTGCAGATGTTTGGAATATTAATAATCAAAACATTGTATAAGAAACGCATGCACACCCACGCATGTACATGTTTCCTATTATTCTGAGCTCATATATGTTTAAAATTCATTACATCTTTTGATTATGTAGATTGATTCTTTTCATTTTTTTAATTGTAGGTAACCCATGTCCCGCCGATAAACCATTTTTATGTAAATCATCACCTACATGTATTGCTCTCAAATATGTTTGTGATAACACATTCGACTGTGAAGATGGTTTTGATGAAGAAAAAGCTCTTTGTACAGCAGGTGAGTCTTTCCTGAAACACTTCAATAAATTTAATCTGAATTAAACCTTTTAAATCCTCATCGGAAAGGCTCTGACTTTTAGTAACAATAATATATACTGTATAAATGTTTTAATACACGTGCATAATAAAAAAAAAACACCCCTTTTAGTTCTTGTTTACGGGGTACGAGTGAAACCGAATCGGTTACGCTTCCATTTGGTTTCTAGTTGTAATGTGGAACATATTATTAATAATAGACGAGAATTGATTAATCCCGCTGCTTCATAGTTTCGTTCGCTTCACGGAACAATCTACTAAGGCTTTGCAAGAACCTAACTGTGTAGTATTAGTTTAAATCTTGTTATTCTCTTTCTTTATTCTCTTGTAGAATATTGTCTTTTACTCACTATTATTAACATTAGGTACTGTGCTGTGTCATATGCCTACCATTGTACTTGCAAAAATGCCAAGCAAGATTCGGTACCGAGCAAATCCGGTTACCAAATCTAACCGCGAAACTGGCATAAATGTGACTCCCACGCATAACTGATCTCAATGTTAATATTTAATCATTTTGTCGTAAGAAATAAAAAGGATTAATGGGAAAAATAATCTTATCTTGTCCATTAAGCAATCCATTAATGTTATTTCTTATTGATTTACCTAGTTCAACATAAAAAGACTACTCTTTTAAAATCGAAACCACTAATTCGGCGATACACCCGATTGTTTACAAAAAGGAATGTGATTGGTTTTAAAAACAATGTCAAGGTCAATGAAACAGTTATTCTAGAAGATCTGTATCGGTGCTTACATTAATCAAAGTTTGCTGTACTGATTTTTTTTTTTTTTTTTTTTTTTTTTTAAGAAACACGTTTAGATATTATAACTTATTGTAAATATAATTAATTATTAAGTCATTTTAATTGTCGGGCTTCCACTTGATCCAGTACAGTTCGGTCCCCAGGATAATTGAGATTAATGTTCGAGTTTTTTTTTAAAAGAAACACGTTTAGATATTATAATTTATTGTAAATATAATTAATTATTAAGTCATTTTAATTGTTGGGCTTCCACTTGATCCAGTACAGTTCGGTCCCCAGGATAATTGAGATTAATGTTCGAGACTAAATCATGCCAACAGTTTCATAACAGTCTTCCAAGTCAATCAAATATAGAGTTTGGCAACGACTTGAATAAAATTTTAAAAAATACCGTGTTATTAAACTGGTGGAAGCAGACTGGTGATAAGGCCAAGATAAATATTCATACACTGAAGCAATTGAATCTTAATTAATAAATCCAAACGTATTTTCTTTGTAGCATCAAGACCGTCAGTTGAACAGTTATTCAATTTCCTAACAGCTGAAGAACAGTGGATTATTCCCAAATTATTTGGTGGTGTTGAACCTGAATTTGCTGCCCATGGTTTAGCTGGTGAGTAAACTATCCCAATAAGCTATTTTGTTTCTTGCCACAGTAGTTGGGTTAGGATTTATTCCATGGGACTGATAGAGAAATCAAGGATTCATAGACGAGGTGGTTGACACCTGGCCAATTTCATACTGTAAAGTTTCAATCAAATCTAAACGGGCTTTTACTGTCTGTGTTTACTTGTAATAACACAGACAGCAGAATCGGTTAAGATCAATATTAATATTTGTGTATGTATATCTAATAATTATATGTATAAATTTTACGGGATTCAGCAGTTAATAACATGGGCAGTGGTATATAAAAGATAATTTGGATTTCGTGACAGACTTGTTCCTACATAGAACTCGTCGGCGGAAGGATAAAACTGGAATTTCATAAAATATTTCCCTGTATCTTCAAATGGTATCTTGTCTAGAGCTCGCACATTAACATTGTATTTTATCTGAATGGTCATAGATATTTCAAAATGATAGGTCATTGTGATATCGAGATGGGCAATCACTCAAATTTTCAAAATGATTAATAGAAGTATGTGTATATTAAAATAATATAAGTTGCGTAGTAGGTATTGTTAATTATCCAGCGGGACAAACGGGCTAATGTTCACCAGTTTTTGTCGCTGAAAACTATGTAAAAAAATGATAATGTTGACAATGCCCAAAGCCAAGGTTAGAAACAACTCAAATGATTTAAAAGTGTTGAAATCAGGAGAGCCATTCTCTAATCGGAATCATTTAACCTTTAACTTAAACCTATTGATTTTAACGTAAGTAATGGTCGTTTCTAGATTTGGGTTCAGATGTCGAGAAGGAGTAATTGCCTTAATATAATCTGACGTACCTACTGTGTTCACAGACCATATACCTCACCAGACGGTCAATACAATTAAACATGTCTGTCTTTGATTTTGACAGATATCTTGATAAAATACAACCATATATATATATAAAAATGTAAGACAATATCAAAATATCATCTGGAGCAAAACAAACTAGTCCTTATAAAGGTATTGCTTTCTACGAAAAACATAACAATCATTAAGATCATAACAAAGTAGTCATTTTAAGGATATTGAGCTCTAACAAAAATAAAATAATTATTATCAGGAGTATAACAAACCAGTCAATTTAAGGATATTGCATTCTCAAAAACACAATAACCAGTCAACTTAGAGAATAGATAAACACTAGATACACCTTTATGTATTTTGTTTATGGCCTAACAGGTGCGCTGTAGGTAATAATGTCTGTCACTGAGTCAATGGTGTGGTTTCGATCACAAGCTTGTACGTGGCAAGGAATAGGGTCGAATCCCCAGACCCGTGGTCTGTCATTCTCGCTGTTTTTAATAAAAATGTTCCGTCGTCGTCAAGGTTTAATAGAAAAGTATTTGCTATACGCCTTCTGTTTACTCTGTAGATTATTATACCATTATATTATGGCGGACAAATCTATATCTAATCAAATTGATACTACAGGAAACAATGGATGGGATTTGATCAGGGTGTATTGTTACCGTCTATTGAGGATGTATCGCTGATGAATTCTCACAATAGATATTATTAATACAGTGCATGGGAATACTATTCCATATTATTCTCCACAATGTCGGAATTCTCTTGGGTTCATGATTATGCTTTCCAGCCCGGGGTTCGTCATTCACTAATCCGATTATTTTGATATTATATTTTCAGTTGCCAGTGATATTGATGATTTGAGCATGACTCTCGGACTCACGCCTGAAAATGTTAAGAACCTGCATAAAGCATTCCAAGCTGCAATGGAAGGAGATGAGCGACCTTTATTGGCGATGAACATGCCCGAGCGCTCTTGGCACGAAGTACAGTACATGCTTCAACAGCTACTGGACAGCGGCTTCAAGCTCTGAGATCACGCGGTACGTGTTGGCTGTAAAAGCTGTGGATAGAACCATTAATCCCACTAGAATTCCTGCTTTCATCTAAATGTAAAACTCCACTAGAAATCATCGTTTCTGTTTTAACAAGAAGTTCAGAGTAAATACTCTCTCCGTTCCAGTCCAGTTCGACAACATTCAACGATTAGTATTATTTTTTTTTCGTTTCTCGTGTACTTAAGGGACTATTGGCCTCGCGCCTATACAATGACGTCATGTGATAGATGTTGAAGTAGAATTTAAGCCCTTTCAGATGCTGCTGTTTGTAATACTTGTAGTTTCAAATTAAATCTTCTTAATAGCATATTGTTTCATATAGTATCTCAATTATTCTTTGTCTCAATTGTATTACTACGAGTTATTTTCATATCATATTGATTGAAGGTTTTTAAACTGTATTAACCGTCACTATTTACTTTATACGAAGTTCATATCGTTCAAATAGAATCTTAAGTGTTATATTGGCAATATCCCGTTCTTTTTACATTTAAAACTGTTTCCTAGGTGAAATGAAACAAAATAAAGAATTCGGTGTCCTTCATTCTTCCCAATAATAGCCTACGCTTTCGCTTTTGAAGGACATAACACGCAATTAGCAAGAAAATGAAATTGGGCGATAATTCATTCACACAAGCAAAAGTTACGTCACGCCCGATGACGTCAAGGTGCTAAATTTGGCCCAGTATTGCTGCGATGGAAGAGAATTAGCAACAGGGAACAATTAATTATTAAAAGTAATGTCAAAACAAAATCCTATGTAACACTTATAGTTTCTGGCTATTTTTACAAGATATTTTTGGTGTGTATGTCATATTATGTAGATCCTTTTATGTAAGTTATTTTTCGGGTTTGGTTTTCTCTTTTAGTAAGTTATTTCATATACCCTAAAATCAATAAACTAACGGTTTTCCTTAATGGCGTTCTCAAGGAGGTATGTGTCAATGTATGTGATATATTATATATAAATATAAATAAATATAAATATGATAATTATTTATTTCAAAATCGAGAATCAATTGTTTTAACCCTCATAGTACCTTCTGACTGTACATTCATCATGACAAATTATAATAAACATAACATAGTTTCTTAATAGCAAGACTTCTTTTGCATTCTGGATAAAAAGGGGAGAATCAGTGTAAAAAATGAAATAAAGGAATTAAACCAACGCTGATTTTCTGAAAGTAAACTGTATGTCAAACTGAAAGATAACAGAGTGGATATGGAATCAAAAGCACCAAACAGATCGGTTCAAATCATAGACTTGAAATGTTGTCATCCGGAAAGCTTATGGTCTGTTTTCAGTCTGTCTTGTTAAAATTAGATATCCATTTCGTTTCGTATTTTTTCCTGATTTCTACACAATATTATAATGGATCCAACTTTCGATCACCGGCGGGTGAGCGTTATTTATATCAGCAATTACATGGTATAATCCGGGTATTCCCCATCCAAATTGATTTGCCATTCAGTTCAGAGTATCTGAAAACATTTTCAAGGAAAATTTGTCAGATGTTAATAGAGGACAAAATCAAAAATAAATCGAAAGGAAATGGATATGTGTTTTTAATAGATCTGGGAATACTCAATAAAAACTTTCAACGGCCATTAATGCTCTTTTAAACGTACACGATTCATATATAAGCACAGTGCGACAAAGACCACATCCAGTCCGTATTGCTTAAATATGGAATTTAATAATCAAATATTGCACAATAACATAGTGTTGAATCCGAATGGTCTCTAATGGCTAGAGTTGCATCCATATTTGAAAACTGCAAGTTGATATTTGTAGATATAAATGTGGTCGAATTACTCCTATGAAAAGGCATCAGTGGATCAATATTTTAACTAAGTATTTACTGCCCATGCTAGACCTCAGGCGTAACTTAGCATCCACCCGGCTAGATATTGCATCAGAACTCATGCAGTCGCATTCAACACAACCCCTAAAATTTTGGGTTTGAATCTAATAGCAGAAACCACTGTACTACCTAATAAAAAGGTTTACATATTTTGTGTGGGTATATACATAATCGATATTTTCCTACCTTCATGTTTTGGTATATATAAAACGAAGGCCAGTTATAATGCAAAGGAATGGGCCCAGGTGTTAAACACTCGTGGATATTTTAAAGTAGTAGAATCTTAAAGGACGTATAGCTTTTTTTTTAAAACATGAGAACAGACAAAAGTGGATCCAAACGTAATGTAATTTGAGTGCATATAAAGTGTTTTACATTCAATTAAAAAAAAATTGTAATTTGTAATCATTTATATTCGATGGTATACGCGAACTGTCCAAATTGAACGACAATCGTTTGGGCCTGCTGAGTCCATCCTACACGTTCTTAAAATTATTATTATATCGTTTGTGTATCCGCCATTTTAATTACTCCCCCATTGTCTTCTGCGATAATCTTTTCTTTATTCATTACAAATGGCACTGGACACCATTATTTTCCATAAAGTACACGAGTCGTGTACTGATTTTAAAATATCTTGTGTTAAATAATGAATATTAGGATCCCATATTTTCACGGTAAGAATACAAATTCAAAGTTGATTGAAATGACCAATATTAAATTCTAATTCGTGTCTTTAATTTCGAGTATCATGATAGAGGTTTAGCTGCTTTAAATTTAACCCCGGTTGCTCTTCTGAGTTAGACAGGTGCGTACTTGCGTTTACACAGGTTTGGAATTTTATTTATTTTTCAACTAATGACGTATGCTTCAACAGTTCTTATTCCTTTGTTATTAATCTTGGATTCTTTCGTATTTAAATAACCGAATTTGACGTTACCAGGGTAACTGTCATCCACTGTAAACAAACTATAAGCAAACAGTTTACACAATATTACGAAGCGTAGCTATTATATATGGTGGCTGATTGGTATCATGTCGTAATGTCGTGTAAAAATATCGTATTGACGGATTAAAATGTCGTGATGTCGGGTTGTTGGGATATGGGTTGTCGGCCATGCCCCTCCCAGTACTATGATTATGTACACTGATCCTGGTGTTGGTCAAGAAATTTCCCCGGGATTTTGCAGCGTGGTTTTTCCTTGTAGGAAAATGAAATGAAATGGGATTTAACGTCCTACTGTTCTGCTCTGGGAGCCAAGGTGGCCAAGTGAGTAAGACGCTGGCTCTCTATCCTGGAGGTCGCGGGTTATCCCCGGTGCTGACCTAGACAGTTCATCGAGATTTTCGGGCGTGGTTCCCCCTTGTCGGGGGTGCAGGAAGGGGGTCTGATAAAACCGAGGTTCCATTCGGATGGGACGAAAAACCGAGGTTCCGTGTACCCATTGGTGTGCACATTACCCCCCCCCCCCGACAGTTGGAATTCAATATAAGAGTAGACCGTAGATCCGCAGATCGGACTATTGTAGATAGGCGTACACTATGCAGAGTGCTATGGCGGAATTTTCAATGAACCATGGTATTTCGTCATTGAATTCCAACTGTGAAGGGGTCTTTTATGTGCACGCCAACTACACAACTAGAAAATATTCTTTGCCAGGTCCTTTGTCCTGCACTGCCGTTAGGGAGAAACCACGCTGCAAAATCCCGAGGAACTTTCTTGACCAACACCAGGATCAATGTACATAATCATACTGTATACTGAGAGAGGAGCATGGCCGACAACCCGACATCGCGACATTTTACGCCCACAATACGACAACGCTCAGAACATACCAGTGTCATCAGAAATTCTTGATAAAATATAAAGACTCTAAAAACCATCCAAGCGAAAAACAAATAGAGAAAAGCCAACGATCTAGCGATCACAGAAATAACCTAAAACATATTTTATATGGAGGTAGATTTTTTTTTTTAGTGAAATACATGATGTTTTGTGCTCATCAAAATTCAATATATTCATTGGATATCAGCTTTAACGAGCCTTAAGTGAGCCGTAATCGACACTCCACACGCCAGACGAAGAAATTAACTTCATCAATTGTGTAGTGATAAGATCATTTTCGGACTGCCCAACGAAACTACTTTGCAAGATATTTGTAATAAATTGGTTAATCCACGGAAAGGAGAGAAAAAAAAGACCGTGGGAGAAAACTATTTTAAGTACTGTACATCAGTTTATTATAATTTCCCGATAGGTAAACTTCCAAACCACAAACGATAAACTGCAAATTGTTAAACTGGTCGTGACTGCCTTGTTAAAAATCTTGATTTACCGGAAGCATAAACAGAAACGAAGAATGCAGCAATTATTTCCCAGCAGCAAGACAATTTTTGTTTTAAATCAGGAAGACGAAGGCAATAATAACGTATAACACATATTACATTTTTAGGACATGCTGTTATGCCGGACTGGGGTATCACGTTAACGGCGTATATTAACCACACACGATTCGTATGTTTTTGTATGTTATTATTTCGCGTCCCTTTGCACCCACATGCGCTTGCAACATGGTAAATCTATTTCAAATATAACATAACGCTAGAGCTGGGTATTATGACTAAAGTCTAATACATTCATATTCGTAAACACGACGGAATCGAATCCAAGGCTAAATAACTCGCCTGAAACTGTTTGGACCCAGAATAGCAATTATTTGCCCATTGACATGGTGGGTTAGGGCTAGGGTCAGGACTAGGTCTTGGCTTAGGCCTAGGCTACATGCTTGTTGACAAGATTATGGGTTAGGGTAAGGACTGGGTCTTGGGTTAGGCTTAGGGTCAGCCCTGTTCACATCTTGTGACCTTAGACCAAATCTGCAGTTGAGTTGGCCTTAATATTTATACCTAACCATGTTTTGACAGCATTGTGAACGAAATGTTAACATTTACACCAAAAAATTCACACTCAGCCAACGGATACCCCCAATCATGGCTATTTTGATACCAGATAGTCAAAAAACGTACTGCTGAGCAATAAAAAAGCAGTATTCTTACCATTTCTGACACTTTCCATTCAAAACTTCATGAAATAAGCCGCTGAGAAAATATCTACATCCCAAGTCTGTCGCCATATTTTTTTTAATTATTTGCCCATTGACTTTAATGTTAAATGGCTGTAACATCACAACCTGTAGCTTTTTGCTCAACATTCCGTTGGTTCCAATCTTTCTTGGCACTATAGGAACCATATTTGTGTAGGGGGTTGACCGTTTAGATTTTTTGCTACGGGGATTTGAAGTCGACTGAGGTGAAAATCTCGCTTCCGGCATAATGATTGCTCTGCAGAAAGACACTTTACACACCCTAACCCTCCGCTGTAATATCACCAGTATTACCCAAAACTGCTATGAAATTGCAAATTTGATCTCCTATTCTAGACCAAAAAGTCACCCCAAAAATGCAGGAATAGGAAGAAAAAAAATTAAGTGAAAAATTGTCTATTTATAACTCGCACTATATTCATCCATCATATCTTATTAGCAGACATATCGAAAGGCATCCTCGGTTACCCAGTGTACTCGTTCCGTTCTACTCCACTATTCCCTGGGTTAATCTATGGGGGAGACACGTTTTCAAGTTATCCGCACATGATGATTGTGCGATTTTTATCGACCAATCCCATAAATTGTTATTTGAAAAGGAAGTTGGCAAAGGGAAGTAACTCTCATCGGACAATGTTAGAAGTTGGCCTATTCTAAATGCGTAATTATTAACAACTAATTATATATTATGTTAATGAAGACCAGACGTTCATATAATAATGTAGGTCATTAGTTTTATTTAGATTCGTTCGTTCGTTCCCGGAATTGTATGTTCACGTGATATCGCAGACAAGTTATTGTGAATGGTAGGTAGGTAGGTTTCTGGGGTTTTACTTCCACTTCCACCTAGGGTGATATCGTAGACAAATGATTGTGAATTAAATTGCCAAGTATAAGTTCAATAATAATAAACATAACAGAATGACATATTTCAGTCAAAGAACGAATAGTAATAATAATAACAAAAGTCAAACATATAGATGTTATACATATTTGAAATCAACAACACATACTACTGATTTTGATAATACAATTAAATATAAATAAATTAGAAATATATACATTATTTACATAAATCATTCAGTAAATGGACATGAATATGGTTATCTACCCTTATAATCATGAAGGCGAAACGATTGGTTTGTAAACTGTTTTCTGATTGGTTCGTAGACTGTAGCTACATTCTAGGCCAGGGCAGAT